TCATCATCATCATCTATCAAAGAAGACAAGATCAATTACATATCAAAGGGGTTGGGTTTGAAGGCCCAATGTTAAATTTCAAAAGTCCTACTACTTAGAATGTAAGTGTAATGTTTCCTTTTGGATTCAATCTTTGTTTAGTTGATCAAGATCTATTAAACTTGATTTTTATTTGTTTTTTTGAAATAGTATGATGATGATGATGGTACCTTTAATGAGGGTCAAGAAGACTCATCTGAAACCACTTCAAATCAAATCAATTTAAGCATCTGATCATCAAAAAAGATTCAAATGTAAATCCTTCAGTGCTTTATAACATTTTCAACATCTATTATGTGATTTTCATTTGAACAAGATATCTTTCAATTGATAAAGAAGACATCAATTCCAAAATTTCAAAATTTCAATTCTACAAAAAATCAATTCTTAATCTAAGATTTCTCAATGATTAATCAAAGTGATTCTCAATTTTCTACCTCACTATACTCTCATTTTTGTCTTTACACCCTTTCTTCCAAATATATATTTGTAAATCTTCATGTAAGAAACTTCATCTAAATGTAAATCATTCCACAAATTAACCAAGTTTCTTTTTTCATAAAAAAAAACTCAAACTCAAACCCTATGTAAACCCAAATTCTTTCATTACAGTTTTTTATTGTTTCAATTTCAAGTTCAACAGTTGAAACTCTTTCACTATTTGAAGAGCCTTCAACTTGAATTCTTCATTACCTTTACAGTCATTCAAGATTTTCTTGGCCAATTTCGTTTTTTTTTTAAAAAAATACAGGTGAGAATACAAGCATAGCCTTCAAATGGGTCAGGCTAAACAGCCTGCCGCATCAGACCACTTCCATCATCTGATTCCATCATCCATCATCCAATTTCATTTTCATTGTTTAACTTCATTAAATTTACCCGGTCATGGGATTTGTGAAGTATAGTGCACAGCTGAAAGTTATTACTGTGCACAAACTCTTATCTGGACAATCTCCTCAATTGATTAACGAAGAACTTCTTACGACGATCTCCGACAAGTCCTTTGTGCAATGGAACACCTTGTACACTCATACTCACGCGGTTGTTCGCGATCCGGCTACGCTGTGGTGATCAATTTATGGGATCAATTAAAAAATTCACAATTACCAGTTTACCAGTTTATTAGCAGGATTCAGCAGGAAAGAAAATTCGAAATGGAGGTTTTTGATCAATTGAAGCTCTTGTAGGCTTATGTATTGGTCATTAGGTCAACATTACATCATTTTATTTCACATTATATATTAAGATCATTATAGTTTACTTACAAATTTATTACAAAAAGAAAGAAAGAAAGAAAGAAAGAAAAACATAAGAAAAATTCGAAATTATAGGTATAAAGGTTGGAAAATGGTTTTTAGGTTAGTAAAAATAAAGTTATGGGTATTATGAGGTTAGAATATGAAAGAACAACATTATATGATACTATGACAATTTTAATCTTCAA